CAATTCTAGTTTGGACGTGACTACATTTATCATTTTTTTCCTGAGCCTTTTTTGGTCAACGATGCACAAAGCGTAAGTCTGTCAGTTATCATCCATTTTTTCACTAATAGCTGTATTTTTCTAACTGTTTTCCATCACAGTAGTTGCTCCTATGGCAACACATTCTCTAACATTAATTCCTTGAGAGTGACCGCACTATTGCAAGTGAAAGACAATTGAATGGGGCAGCCTACATCTGTCCCCTACTTTCCATTAGGAAAGTGTGCAAGTAATTGCTCAACTAGTTTGACTGCCAACTATTTAAATATTAAAAAAATATTTGCATCTATGACCAGTCAAAAGTAATACATACAGTTTAAGAAAGGAACAGCAGGTGACACACATTGTAATTTTCTTAGTACAGTTCCTTCTAAAAAAAATGCTACAGAAATACAGATGGTTACAGCATTTCAGATTTTATACTACTGGATGTTATGTATTAGGAGAATAATACCAATAACATCTGGTTATTTCTGGAGCAGTATGAGGCTTTTTTTGGTTGGCTGGTAGAATTTTTACTTGCTAAGGATATTAGATTTGTATGCTGTCTGCCTTCCTCCTTCTCCCAGTAACTTTTGAATTCATTGGTTAATTCCCACAAATTTTTTTAATAGAAGGCTAGAGTTTCTCAAAAAATATTAATTTTACACAAGTGTTATATCCAACAGAGGACAAAAACCCTTACAAGTAGCCTTAAAAAAACTCCTGAAAACCATAACAGAAAATCTAACAGAGGAGGAGAATTCTCTGACATGGCAGAAGAATTTTGATTAGATTTCATTCCTCATTAGACAATAGAGAACCTAGGAATGAGAAAAAGCTACAGAAACCCAAACTTCATTAGTTCTTCTTCTCCTGGATACACCTGTGAATCCTTAAGTTTTGGTTTGTTTGTTTTGGTTACAGATTTGAAAGGGCAAAGGAGGGGAAATTATACATGTATTCTACTAGTTTAATGAGGTTATCTTTCAACCAAGCTTTGTGTGACAGTTTTTTAAAGCAGCTACTTTCTGAATATTCACTTACAGATATATAAAAATATATGTACAGAACACAGCACTTAATTCTTTGGATGACCAAGACAATTATGCTTGAGAAAATTAAAAGTCAGCATCTTCAAAAGTCTCTTGAAATGAAAGTCGGAAAGAATAATTGCTGCAGCGTGCTTAGGAGACTGATCCCTCAACTCCTGCCATGCCAAACCTATTATCACCCCAAAGGGGATAACAATTGTCATGCCTAGTCTCAAGTACATTTGTTAGTGCACCGACTGGTACAGAAAACAAGGTCTAGCATAAGAGATGTTTCACACTAAAGTGTGCTAATGAATCAAAGTGACAGGAACAGGGCAAAGCAGTTGTTTGCTAACTAGTGAAGTAGATGAAATAAGAGTCTAACAAGAGAGACATTTGTACACACAAGCTGCTTTTTTTAGTTCAGAAATAATAGCGTGACCATCTCCTGCACAAGGAGGAAACATAATTAGTTTCAGGGTGGAAAAAAAGGAATCTGTCTGGACACGTTGGAAGTCTCCAAAGCAGAGGACCAGCCATGACAGCGAACCAAATCACACCTAAAGGATGGTTCTGGTGAAGATTCCCTCATCAGTAAGCTCTCAGGTTCAGGCTCCAAAACAGACTCTCCCTAAAGGGAGGACACAAAGGTGAAAGGCAAGCACAGACACTGAAATCTAGACTGACAGAAGTTCAGCAGGATAAGGAAAACGATTTGCAATCTATACTTCTGCTGCACAGATGCCTCAATACGTAGAGACGCAGCGGGGACAGGCACCTTATTAACAAGGTTTCAAAGAGCATTAACAGTGTTCCCAGACATTACAATAATAGTGAACAATACTTATCCATTTTTATTAAAAACAGATTAATGTTCAAAGTAACAATGTACTGAAATTGACATTTCTTTTCATCCACAGAAAGAGGTTATTTTCAAGTACCTGCTCCTTCACTTCAGCTTTTCACTTACTTTCTGAGTCTCCCTGTTTTTCAACACAGTTGGGTTGGGGGGCTTTTGGGTTTGGTTTTTGTTTTGGGGGTGGTTTTTGTTTGGTGGTTTGGGGGGGGGTTGGGGTTTTTTTGTGGGTTTTGTTTTTACTATGCTTGTAACCTGGTCTTCAAAAGACTTCAGCTGTGTATTTCAGTTCAGTAGGCCTACGGTTCTGTACTTTGACATAACTAGTCTCCTGTTTAGAGATTTTTTTTCAGTTCAAGATTCAAAATTGCACTGGGCACAAACAAATCAATTTTGCTATACATGTGCAGACCTAATATATCTGGGAAGCCTGGGAGCAACTATATGTGTAACATATTAGTTACTTGTGAACATGATGAAATTCAGACCAACACATTCTGAATGCAGCACACACACTGTAGATCTTATGAGTCCCAGAGGCAAACTTCCTGCACATATTTCTGTCCAGGGAATTCAAGCCAAAACACGGCAAGCCTAAGCATAAAACTTTCAACTGCAGTGTAAGAGAGTGGTACATTCGTACCTTTCACATAAAAGCAAAAAATACATTTGAAAGCAAGTACAAGAAGAGATTTAGATGTCCTCTTCTAGATCTGTTTCTCTTCCAGAAAGATTTTTCAGTTATCTTATTTGCCTGATAAACAAAAACAGTAGAACACACTTCAAACTGGAATATCCTCTGGTACCATTAGTCAAAAAAACTAGTAATAAACATTCAGAATAAAACCCTGGTTTACATAGGTCATAGGATGACCAAAACTTTCTCCATCAAGGCAGCAGACAATAGCAATTCTGTGATTCCACAAATTCTAGGCAGTTCTTCCAGTCCTTAATTTTATTTCATTTATTCTAACACTCCACATGTCATGGTACTCCACAGATACCCTTCCTTACTTGCTGAAATCAGTTCTGTCCTTTGTACAACTACCTTATCTTCTTTTCTTGAGAATGTATAGAAACATTTTTTTAAAATTCAAATTTTGTCATACAATTATGCAGTTAAAGTCTAAATCAGTATCATTCAGCTATTTTCATTTTGAAGTTTTAATTGAAAGAATTCAGCTTTTGGAGTTTTTAAGAGTATAATATTACGGCAAAATTACATAAAACATTTACAAATACAGTAAAATACAAAGCCTGAAATATTTTAGTGTATGTGCAAGAAAAATAATGTACAACCTGCATAAAGAGAAGGAAAGAGTAATTCTGGAATATAGTTCATGTCATATGAGGGGTAATAGCTTCATTTTAGTGAATGCTGAAAAGCCATAAAGCACCGCAATGACCAATTCAGCAATAACTTTAAAGGCTCTTATAAGCAGCAATGGAGGAAAATGGAAACAGATAAAATAAATTAATCCCCTCTCCTCTTCCCCATCATGAAACTTATGTTCCTACTTTTTAAAAAAACAGCTCTGCTATGAGTCAGAAATGAAGTAACAATTACTTAGATATTTTCTGCTAACCAAAACCACACTTATCAGTCTTCAAGGGATCATTTGTCCCCAAGACAACCACTCTGCTAAGGCTAGACTATAAGTTCTTGATGTTGTTTATGGAGGTGGGGGAGTGATTCCATCTGTCTGTGATGGGCATTGCAGGTTTTTAAAAGAAAATACTCAATTCCAAACAGTTTACTGGTAGGATGCTCTCTGAAAGCTTGACCTGGCAAGCTGAGTAACTACTAAGTAACTGTCTCTTACAACTCAGTCTCAGCAACTGATTTGTTCACAATAATCATCTTACACAAACGAACCTTACATTGTGGTTTATATGTGTGTGGGATCTCTGTGTTATCTATGCTAATAAAACATTAATCAAGGGCCAAATTTATAGCAGGCACTTTATAAGTAAGGTCAAGGCAGGTCAGCCTCACATAATAGGAAACAACTACAGGCTAGATCTTCACATTGTAACTGAACACCCTTGTTACTTTACCTTGGCCCTTGGGATCAAGACTAGTAGCAAAATGTTTTTTCTGCCTCAGAATGGCGTTTCCCTCACCATAAACTGAAATGCAACCATTAAAATGGACATTATTTTTATGTATCTTGAGAACATTTACACATCTAAAAAGAAAAATCTCCAATATCCATTTCCCCTATTCCTACAATAATAAAAAGAAATTTATATAGCATTTTAATTTATGTGATAAATTATTTTGTTTTTAATTCAGCAGCTGTCCTAATCCTGTAAAATTCATTTTCTACTAGGATTCTTATTAGCTCAAGTTACTCACTAACAGAATTCAGGTTTAGATAAATGGCATTTCTTAAAATACTCCTTAGCTAACTCCTTAAGACATCTTAAAAAAATCCTTTAGAAAAAGTAAATATTGCTCTTAGTCAGCCTTAACAATCGATTCCTAAAGAAGAAAATATTGATGGTTCTGAACAGTCATTATAAGTCAAAGAGCATGGTCTCATCACCTTCTCTGTCATTTTCTGTAAGTTCCAGTAATATACCTACATAGTCACAGACAGAATATTAAACTAATTAGCAATAATAACAGATATTACTTTTTTCCTTAAAGGGACTCTCTTCCTTTCTGTTTTATGAGGTAGATAGGAAATAAATGAGCAAACTGAGCAAACTAGAACATAATTTTTGAGATAGAGGCTTATCTTACAATTTCTAGCTATAATGTCTTCCAAATATTAATTGTCTTCCTCAAGACATTAGCAGTTGAATACAAATTATAGTTTCAGTGTTAATCAGTGCATAAGGACAGGAAGAAAGAAAATCCACAACACACCAGTAAGTGAAATATTTAATGAAACTAAAGAGCATTCAGATTCTGCAAAATCTCATATTCAGTTTTAGAACTGAACCGAAGTATGAAAGAATGTCAGATCATGCTTGTAAAACTCAAAGAAAAAGACACAAAAAGGCAGAAGAAAAAGTCTTAAAGTCTAAAGCCACACAACTTTTTGAAGACTAAGGCAAAGGTGCTATCAAACATTGTGACTTACCTTCCTTCATTGACAAGCTCAATAAAGGCAAGGCCAGCATTCTTTTGTATAGAGTTCTGCCACTCCTGGGAAAAAACAAAAACAAAACCAAAAACCAAACAAAAAAAAACACAAGAGAAAATTAGTTGTATAAAAACAAAACTAAGAAAAAAACATTTTCAGCTACAATGTCATGCACTTTCTTTTCAATTTTAGCAACTTACACTACCATCAGCAAACATATGAGGCATTAATTGTGTGCTAATCAGGAAGGAAACATTGCCAGCATGAAGAAACAGAACATTACCATTTACTTAAAGTCATTTTCTACGGAGGGTAGAAGAAAATACAAAAATATCCCACAAACAACTGTATCATTTTCTTTTGCTATGTTATGTAATAATTCTGACCTTCATCTGGTTCATTGATGCTTTTTGCTGTATTGAACCTTGATAATGCTAGAAACAAACTGTTTCATGTCAATGTAAGACTAGCTCTTCAGACGTAAATTTTTCATACAGCTTAAAGTCTAGTTAACATATATGCTGATAATAATCCTCACCTTAGCATCACATAGTCATCTCTACTCAAAAAAAATCTGCGAAGGATCCAAATATTGCTTCATTAACACCCAGTATGTTTCAAAAAATTTTAACACATTTTTAATAGTCTGAATTTTTAAAACACTGAAATGATGGTAATGGCACACACACATGCACTGCACATTTCTTACAACCAACTGAATTCTGAATTACAGCAAAATTCTACACCTCTTAAACATATAGGTGGGTTTGACTGGCCCCCAGAAGAGACACAGTGGAAAGCAAGCAACCCAGATGGCCTATCACTGAGGCTTTCTTCACCCATTTGAAAGCTGAGGAGAAACAAAATTGGTTAACAAAAACACAAAGAAGATTTTTAATGCTAGACTCAATAAGAACAACTTGACAGAGCTAAAAATTAGGGTAGTAAATGTGTGAACCTTATATTTTGGGGAAAATGTAGAGGCACTTGCATAGAACAGGACAAACAACTCTTGCTTTAAGCTCTACAACTCTTCTAAACTAATACAAAAGACTCATTCGGCAGCAGACAGATACTTAAGTTTCATATGCTTTTCACATCAGCTTCCTTGATTTTTCGGTCTTTGTTGTATGAAATAACAGGCCTAAAGATTCTTCACATCAGTACTTCTATCACTGCGGTTCTTTTAAAAAAATCTCATCAGCTTCAGAACAGGTAAAAATTGAAAAACTGCAAATATCTCTTAAACAAATTTCAGGTTTCTAAACGTAGGAGCTTTTAATACCCAGTGCCAAGAGAGCACTTTTTTGCTGTTCAGTGTTGCAGGATTACCTCTCAGTCAGTGACATGAAGGTTTGATCAGACATACACAAAAGCCAGTAGAACAATGTTGCTTCTTTCCAATTTAAATCCTGTGCCCCTATCCCTCACCCCCTGCTCCCCCCCTCCCCTCCCCTCCCCATCCCCTGGAAAAAAGATTTCCAGATTTCAAATGCAAGGGAGAGATTATAACTCTGATTTCTCAAGGCTTAACATGTTCCAGGTCCAACATACTCTTTTATAATTTTTAAGTTGTAACAATGTACTACAATTTTCAAGTAGTCAGAGTAGAATAAGTGGAATTCCTGATGTGTTATTTATCATGAATTATAAATGTATTTCATTACTTTTTTATATAACTAGTTTATATGTATTAATAAGCAAGCAACATTCTAAGTACCAGCTAAGTTCTATTTACATATTATCATATATGGATTTTTTTGAGTTTTGTGGGGTTTTTTGTGTTGGGTTTTTCTGAGGCTACATCAAGTAGCATCATTGGTCTTTATTGCTACATATATGTTACTAACATTTCTTCCACCATCCTTCCCCTAGTTCTCCCCTATTGCATTCTTATGGCCACCATCACATGGCTTCACGTTAGTCTGTAAGCTTTCTGAAATAGTTTTAAGAAGCATTTATTCTTAAAAAAAAAAAAACACCTTTTAGCTGCAAATTTTCTACAGAAAATAGCATATGCAACTGATCTTCATAAGTTTTTTTAAATGTAATATAAAGTTCTAAATATTTAGCTTCATATGATGACCATTGAAACTATTCTCTGCTAGCTTAAATGCGTGAAAATTCAACAAAAGCAAAATAGTTTTTTTCCATTTAAGACACTGTCCATCTGCTGCTCTCGTCTTTAAGAGAGCTCACTATAATACTCAAAAATTTAATTGGTGAAGATGGAGGTTGCCAAAAGTGAAAAGAAAGTGCATTTATCGTGATACTTTTCAGCATTTTTTTTCTAAATCAGACATCATCAAAGAAGGTGTTAGTCTAAACAATTTCATAAATCACAGCTGAACACACCCTAAAGTTAATTTTCATAGTTGAAAGACTAAAGGTCATCATCTTTCATGATCCATTCAATATTTCCCCACAGTATATGTTCTCTCTCAAACAATTACACTCAGTATGCATATTGCATTATTATATCAACATCTTAGTTATCCATCTCCCAAAGGTATTAGGGAAAAAACACATTAAAAGCCTCAAACTCCACCAGTAATGCAACTAAGTAATGACAAAACACATTTCAGCACTTTCCTAAGGAAGGACTGTAAGGGAAGATCAACAAAGTCAATAATTTCATACCTGTTCTAAGCTGTACTTAATTGACCATCATTTCCTACAGCTATAAATGATTAGTAACCGAGACACATAATCTACTTTTAATGCTTTTGGTCACTGTACACACAGTAGTGAAGCAGAAAAAAACCTAGAAGCACCAAACACTATCACAAATAGCTACAATGAAAAACAACCATTACACAGAGACAAATACGAAATGACATTTTATTCAAATACTATGTGGAAATTTCCTAGCTCATCATTGTTTTACCTACTTCCTTAATGGATTCTGTAAACACTTCCGTAAGTACTCTAGATAAAATGCAAGTACTATATCCTTTCCTGAAATGGTGCTTCAAACCTCATCTGAATTACAGTTCTGTATGGAATAACATATTACATTTCCTGTAGCTACAGCATAACTCTGCCATAAGCAAAATTATATCCCAGTCCTCTATAGCACCAATTTTATACCCTCAACAAGTTTCATTAACACACTCTTAGTCAGTGCACAAGGATCATTAAATGAAAACATTAAACAGTACAGGTCTTAAACCTCTCCTTTCAGAAAGTAATAATCTCCCGCAAGGTTTATATCATGACCTATTCTTGTCCCATTTGAGTCAGGTTGGGTTTTTTTAATCTATTTTACAGTGGGTTTTTTTTAATTAATTCTAACTAATGATCAGTCATGTGACAGTACCAAATGCTCTAATAAAACTTGTACCAATTACTACATTTCCTTTGTCTAGGAAATACACTTTGGTCATAGACCACAACGTGCCTTAGCCCATAACCAACAATGAGATTAGCCTGGCAAAACAATCTTTAGTAATTCTAAGTCCCTTTTTATTTCATTTCAGCCAATGCATGTGTAGTTATGCACATATGTATACATATGTACACATATGCATGTGTAGTTATATCAGTCCTCAAATGCATTGAAAAGTCTTTTATACTACTTGATCTTCCTATTTCCTTTCTTAAAAATAACATTTGTCTCTGATCACATGGCATCATCAGGTAACTGGAGCAGTTCTTTAAAAATTCTGCATTGAACCTGAATTTTCCAGTGTCAACTCCAATCAGTCATTTTCTTCCTTTTGTTGTCGTCTCCCTGCTCATTCTGAATATCCTCGTTCAGATCTAATAGTTCAGAAGCTTCTTATTTACCCCAACAGGCCTGCCCAAAAGCCTTTTATACAAGGAGCAGCTAGTAGGAGCCAGCTTCATAACAAAGAAATGCAGGTGATTCTTTACACAGTGTGCTACACATCAGTGGAATCTATTGCTAAAGGATGTTGCGGTGATTAAAAGTTCAATAGGATCAAGAGGAGACTGCACAAGTACACAGAAGGAAAATACATTGAGACTGCCTAAATACACAGAAACTACATCCAATTCAGAAAATACTCAGAGCTGAAAATAGCTGGAGAGTGGAAGAGTACCATAGATGCTTGTCCTATTTTATTCTTCTTGAGCATCTCATTGTGTTTATAGTTGGAGCTATGTCAATAAGCAAGGCAGAACCTTTATCTAACCCAATAGAGCCATTCCTAAACTCTAAACACTCAAACAAATGCTAAGAAAGTTTTGTTGATAAACATTTTTGTTAGTTTGCAATTTCAAGTACTTGCCTGTAGGAAGCAAATGGACATCTCTCTCCTCAACTGTACACTTCTAGGAAAGCAATATAAATCTATTTCAAACAATTAACTCAAAATATATATTCTTCAAGCTATATAAAACATTTGCAAGACCAATCCATCAACTGGTCTGGTGGCTAAACAATCAAACATGGATCTTTAACAGAATATTTTAAACATTTCCAGTAGATGAAAACTGCTTTATTTTTAACTGTAGAAAACTGTACTGCTACTTTCATTCCTATATACATACAAATGCATATGCATTAATAATTCATTTTCTCAGAAACTTAAAAACAATAAATCCTTCTAACAAGGTCAACATATTCCACAATTAAGAACTATATCTAATGCTTGAAATACACACTGATAAGCAAGCAAAAAAGAGCAAATTCTTTGCTAATCCAGCCTTCCCATAAAGCTGGTGGAGTTTTAATGATTTCTTTTGGTTATGAAAAAAAAAAGGAGAATGACTTTGGTACTGACAACTATGAATGGTGCACTAAGGAGCAGGGTGGGAAAACGTGTTAACATATGACTAAGAGACATATTATATCCTAGAGTAAAGGTCAAATCTGCATGAAAACTTGTTCATAGAGAGATATACTAATCTTTAAGTGCCTAAAGTAAACTATCAAGAACTTTTCAGCAGTGTTTGCACTTGGTGTCAGCACTCTCTCAGCACCACATCCACTACAGGCTTGAATGAACTCAGCAATAAAGAACATATAGTGAAAAGTAGATTATATCTCAGCTGGGTTCTTCATAATTAAAAAAAAAGTTAGACTGCATGTTAAGCA